ACGTACTTAAGTAATTTTTTGGCAGGTTTGACATTTTGATGTAGTTCGCTAAAGAATCGAAAGACGCGTCGTTTCGTCCCATCTCCTGAAAAATTGCTAAAAATTACTTACGTGGTGACAGAACAGACAAATCGTCGTGTCTTTATCCAAACCAAAATGATAGTTCAAACGATTACTTACTTTATTTAATAACGTACGTAGAGCCCATTTTTCCTTAGCTACACTCTCGCAAGCCATAGGAATACAGAACCTTATTTAAATGATTGGAATTCCAAAAAACGTATTTGAATTTTATTAAGCCAATTTTATTGAAACAGATTAATTATTCATAGCATAAACAAATGAAAAAGATGAAAAAAATAAGCTGATAGATTGAACAAAATTTAAAAAAATGAAATCAATCATTAAAATCGAACACTGGCCATTTTCTACTAAATAACTCAGCTAAATAAAAAAAGAATTATGAAAAATAAAATTAAATATCGAACACAGTTCCACGACCAATTTGTAACGTGCAAGATTAAAAACGTCTTAAAGTCACATTTATTCGCAATGAAATAAATATAAATACATAGGTAAGAACACGAATTTGGCATTTCTACACCAATAAGTATTTGTTGTAGCATAAATTTTCAAGTAGTACGTTAATTGGTTTCAAGAATTATTGTGATCTGGCACGATCGAAGTTGCAATTACGTACGCGAGTTTTTGCGCGCGATTCGCGATGTAATGTGACACAAGGAACAAAAATACAGAAGGGAAATGTTGACTTTGTTTTGTAAACATACCTATTAGGGTTTTGATTCTGTAACTTTTAGCAATATGATTTAATAAATATCCCAAAACACCCTTAATCCATATCCACAGAATTATATTAGGTTTTGTTGAAGTAGTTGTAGGGTTAAAATAAAATTGTTACCTACCTTGAAATTTAATGCAGTCTGCATGGTAGAGTTCGAAGATTCCCTATAATTTAAGTATAACTCTACATGTTCAAATTAAAATATCCCAAACAGCAGTTTTTGACTGAAGCCTATTGAATTTTCATAGTAAACTTTGTAACTGTATACTTGTATAGATAACAAGAATTCTTTAAGTTACACGTTACAAATGCGTTCTTGTGGATCTGGAACTTACGTAACTGTGTTAATTGCTATTAACGTTAAAGTCTAATGACTGTACACTAACTGCTAAAGTTCTCGTGCAAGCCTACCACATCACCACCATTACTCAGCCGGGTTCAGGCGTCCTACATTGTCTCATTAAGCCATGTACACATGTTCTCACACATAAATTCTCTCGGTTTCAGCGCTCCCTTAATTCGGTGGCTTCCTCAATAAAATTTTATAGGTTATAATTAACCCGAGACCACACGCAGGAGACGCGACGCGTTACTCTTTTGTTTTTCTGAAAATCTTCCGTCCCGTTTTGTCGCACGCTGTCTATGTAAGTCTATCTGTGTCTAATTGATAGTGTTTTGTTCGATAGTTAGTGCTGTTTTAGTTCGTTTGAAGACGCAAGTGCCGTTCGGTTGTTGTTTAATCTTTGATTCTATTTTTGGCTTTATCAGTTTTTATTGGCACTGTTACTGCAACAGTATCAGTGTAATGGTATGTTTAAAAATTGTTTGTTAGTAGGTACATAAAATTATGATGAATGAAAAGGATAATGACTCGTGCCTGTAGACTTTTACTCAGTTGCAGGTATTTGTTTAGTATTATAAACAATCCCATAAAAACATAATCACATTGTTTCAGTATAAAGTTTTCATATTATTTGTTAATCCGGTTAGTTTGGGGCACTGTATGGCGTTAAACAACTAAAAAAGTTAAGAAAAATTAATTCAAAAATAGTAGTAAGTAATCATAAATACAGACTGAGCAATAAATTGCAATATTAAAGTATCAAATTACTATGCAATGTATTCATACAAAAAATCCTGGCAACATTCTAGGACCTTTTAATATGGCCACCCCGTGGTTCGCAGAACCGTATTATGACAATCCTTAATTAACTGGAAGGCTATTAATTAACGGTTGGTATCTCATCTCATTAGGCTATATTTAATAAGCCAGTACTAGTATTTGTAGTATGCTGCAAGGTTTTCAAGCTAAGTATGATAAAAAGTTATATATAATAATTATGAGTAAGTTAAAATCGTGTTTAAGTTAGTTTATTACACCCATTAGTTCCTTCCTCTTCCTTTAAAATAACTTCAAAAAATAATAATGCTGTAAAGAGAAAGAAAACTTTTTGTGTTCATAACATTACATCGAAATTCATGTTGCACTTAAATTTTATTATAAAACCAGATATTTAATATTAAAAATACTTTATAACGGCCAATCGAAAAACCACAGACTAAAAATATTATAAGCGATTACCATGCAAAACAAGTTGACCCAATTTCATGTAACTGATGTCATCGACGAGCGATGCGAATTAAAAAATAAATAATGTTTATACAGGCTGTCCTTGTGGTTAATAAACTAGAGTACTAGACCAATATTATCTTTTAACGATTTACTTTTGTAATTTATAGTTTAAAATGTCTAGTAGTATCAATATAATGTTCCAAGTTTAAAATTATTTCAAAATTGGCTCATTAAGCGATGTTCCAATGCAACATCACAACGCGTACGACAGTGCAAATGGATGACCACTTATGTTTAATTCACAACACCCTGTATAAATAAAATTTAATGAATATGGTAGTCACGCCATTCTACAACCCCCCTATCCATCATGCAGGCGTGGCGAGTGACCGACGCAAACTAATCGCCCCCGTTGATAGATGCGACGCCATATTGGAATTTCCTTTTTTAAAAAACAAACTTTTCATTCACGATGCGCAAACGCAGCCAAGTAATTAACTTGCCTTGTTCGGATGCTGAAATTTAAATTTCGAATTCCAATTTCTATGGTAATTTCTTTTTAAATGTTTTCGGTTTTTGCAATGGTTTAGTGATGTCTATCATTGTTGGTGTAGGTCAAAAGGAACGATGGCTTATCGCGTTTTTATCGACTCCTGTAGAGCGTGAAGTGTAAATTGTTTTAAATTTGTTCTACTTTTAAAATCGACGTTTTTATTTCGAATTTACTTGTTTATTTGTGCCTGTATAACGATTTTCTTCGCTTTATGCGTTTGATGTAACAAAGAAGGGTTTTATGATTTTACAGCTTACATATTTATAACCGGCATCTAGTTTATTGTGTTGCTTGTAAACTTTCGCCATAATTGGAGCAATTTGAACGAACGTTAATGTAACATAGCTGTTCTCATGTAATAGGTTATTGCTAACATAGATACAAGTTTCATGTTTAGAGTAAAAAAGATTAAAATTCCTTACTTTAAGTATCCTAGGTTGATACAATGTTCAATGTAAAGTAAAAGGTACACGATATTCGCAAACAATTTTGAATTTACATCAATATTTCAGTTTGTTTTCTTAAGGTTTTATTTGTTGTTAACTGTTTTTTACAAAATCTTTGAGTGAAGATTTGGCCTGACACTGTAGACGATAATCTCGTCCACTTAATTGAACCACTTTCAGACCAGTTTGGCTTTCTTGCTGTTTGATGTAGCTCTTGATATTGACCGCCAGAACTGCAACCTGTAAAAATACATAAAACAGTTTTTATAGACAGTATTTTCTTTCTTTAACTGAAAATTCCAATTTATATCTAAGCATCGTTGATTGAAATTTAATTATTATTGTTATCTGACAAGTGTAAAAAAAATTGTTTAGCTGCTACAGAAATACAGTCTAAGGGTCATTGACCCTTTATTTATTATGTTCTAAAATGAGTCATACTTTAATTTATATTTAAGTTCAATGACATCAATCTTGTCCCTAGGCCTGCTGTCAAAGCATTTTTTTTTATTCAAAAATAGATCATTTTATACGGAACTGCCACATTTCCAGCCAGTATTTTTTATTTTATAAAACCCGAACAAGTCGTACGTGCAAGACTGCGTATCTCGGGGCGGCATCATCTCAAAGTTTACGTGAGCGGAGATTTGCTCGTATGTACGAGTTTCCACTCAAAACTTTTATTTAAAAACTTTTTTGACGCTCAACTTTTTCTACGTTGCCAGTTTGCTCGAGCAATTTATTTTTCAAAGAATTATAGTTTCGATGCGTTTATAAAATGTTAGAAAGGTTTTAATAGAGATTTCTATAAAACTTCTTGCTTATATTTCTCTCAAGTTACGACGTGCATTGTCTTATAGACAGATAATTAGCTAATTAAGTATAAGTATAAAATCCCATAACATGCATTATTCCACGACAAGGAACTAATTGACAGGCTAATTGTAAAAACATGCGCAGTTACTTGTTTATAGTCGGTAAGAAAAGTACTTGGAGTTTTACTTTCATCGATACGAGGGAAAATATATAAAAAACATGAAACATTCTGAAGTAATGTTTTATTAAAACATGCATTCGACACGTGTATAATTATTGTGACTTCTACCTGTTGTGTAACTATAATAATTAGAAGTGACTTGACTTTATCTATTAGGTATAATTTATAATGACAAATTATTCGTGTTTAATAAACTCAACAAGAAAATCGTTGAGGGTAACCGACGGTCTGTGTAGTTATTAAAATTAATGATTATATTAACTTAATAAAAAATGTTACGTGTACGTAAGTAGGTACATATTTTATGAAGTTAAGCGTCTACGTCTAATAATTAGTGTTAAAAGGCACAAAAAAGTATAATATTAAATAAAAGATATCAACGGTTTATAAAATACTTAAACCATTATTCAACCGCTACTTAATTAAAAAAATGCATTCACTGTTTGAAATTTTGGAACGCTAGTTTAAATTAGGAACTCTATATTCCCAAAATAAAATCACACGTCTTCCAAATTCAAATTGATTCGAAATTCGAAATAAAAAAGAATCAAAAAACCTAGACCGCGGTACCACCAAGCTCACATCAAACTCGAACTCGTCTCGATTAACGAAATCTTCTTACGTTTCAGATTCGAACGTGTCGGAAACTGGAAAAAAACATCGCCGCGCCCAACCTGTTGTGGTTGGGGACATTTGGTGAGCGCTCGAATTTATTCTTTACCCTTTTTTGCTCCACTTTTTAAGTTTAAAAAATGTAAATAATACGATCCTTTGAAAATGTTGAGATACAAGTGGTGTAAGGCTTGGGCACACCGCACTCAAGTGTTTAAAATTTTATTAAACTTTGAGAGAGCTATTTTCCGGAATAAAGTTATTGTTCGATACTTCCTCCATAATCCAATTAGTTATCAAAAGCAGTTTTAACATAAGTGCAGTTTATAAAAAAAATACAATCAATGATCATCATTGTATTAAAGATAAAATACTGATATCCTACATAAATACTGATTAACAGATACATTAAATGAAAAGATATGATATGTTTATCAAACACAAATGAGTTGTGACCATTCCTTTCATACCGTAATTTGGACTGCGCATGAAGACTTAAAACAAACTTCTTCTATGAATTTGCTTCCTAGGGTTACATTTAAATTATTTGGTTAACTGCACTCGGTGCATCTCCGCCCCAACATCTCACATTGGGACTGACAGGACCACTCTGGTTGAGGTTAAGTGCAGGTATCGTCTTTTACGTTTTTTATTCCTTTTTCAATCCGGCCCGGCTTGAAAATAGGTTATAACCTATTTATTTTGCCTTTGAAATTGTGTAGGATAAACTTTAATTTGGAAGGGTTAGGGTTAGTTTTTTACGCCATAGATTAGATGCACTCGTGACAGTTATAATTTAGTTTTTTACGGCTCGGAATGGGAACTTTTTATTCCTTTGCTTTTAATTAAAGTGGCCAGTATTTTTTAAAATTTGAAATTGGAATTTGTTTAAAAATTATGAGTGACTTAAAAACAAATGACAAACCTAGCTCTACAAACAAGTGCATTGCGATGCCACACATGTGTTCCGCTGCAGAAATAGCTTCTTCGAACCGCTTCAATCATTAATTTGATTCCTTTTTGTCACACATAGACAATCGCAGACTCCGTTGATATGTTTTAAATTATATATTACTTTTATAGCCCTCTATTTGTTACATCCCAACCACACTGTAGAATCGACTGTACTTTAAACTACTAAGGTTGTTTTTAGACTGGTTGAGTACCAATGGCGGTTTCACAGAATCGGGCCTGGTATGATTGTATGCAGCAAATTATCTAGGCATTCAGAAAGGTCCCACAGATTCTTAGTATTTAAGCCAAGATAAATACTAGCCTCCGCTGTGGTATTTAGATGCTTTTTGTCCGTTAATCTTTATTTGATTTAATGGCGGCTGGGAGAGCAATTTGCTTTTCGCAGGATTTGTATTTCTTGCTGGTGAGGGAAGCTAAATTAAAATTGCAAGAAATTATTTTGAATTTTTATTTGAGAAGTCACATTTGTTTTTTCTCCTAATGAAATGTTTCGTAAAGTAGCTCTACAAAATGTCCTGAAAAAGAATAAAAAAGAGGCATTTAAGTAAATTCATAAATACACTGCTTAAACTGCAGTACGTGTGATTGGGAACTTTTTTTGTCTTTCTGATTATGGCCAGCATCAAAAAAGGTTAAAAACTTTTTCCAGCAGCTGTACATCTGTGATAAGTCACTTTTAAATTTCGAATACGGTTTTTGTTCTGGAAACAATTTACCATATCCGACCGTGGGAGTTAACTGACAACTTTGTTTACAGCCAACGATAAATGTTTACAACAAATTGTTTACAGCAAGTTGTTGCGAGTTTGTAAACAAATGTCAGATGTAGGTTACTGGATGCAGATTGTGTTAAAGAAAACAAAATTAAAAATACTAAATATTCACGTCAAGTCGCATTTATTTCAAATATTCGTTTTACACTTAGTAAATCACTAGTAGGTATTGGTAGATTGATTAAACTAATTAGTAACTTAAATAATGCTATGCTTTAAAAAGCATCGTATAACGTCGGAAACGATTACCATAATCGTCGAATAAGACGGAAAAAATGTTGCCGTTTTAATACGAACACACGCTGTTTCACGTTTTTAGTAAATAGCATGTTAGCGTCAACAACTTGGAAGGTAGTACGGCATAAAGTTAAACATTGTAGAGTCTTATTTTAAGGCAATAGGTGCTACTTTGCAACGAAAATGTATGTGTTGACGACTGTACTTCGTGCCAATCATCGGGACCGGTTCGAGAACGAATTTTACTAATTCACGAAAACAGCCGTCGAGTAATCGCCAATATTTATCCTCCTTTCGTGATTATTGAAATGGACAGATACACATAGAGTATTCCTCTTCACTCGCAATCTTGAACCTTATCACCATAAAAATAAACGCGCGAGAATCCACCTTAATCAATTTACAGCTACGCCATTTAGATACTACCGTCGATGCATTGGAAGTGCCTTTACTATTAGCTTATCTGTGGTAGGCCTTTCTGCGGTCCCATTAAACGCATATTTCGAGATAAAACACCTATTTGGAAAATTCCAACGTATCTCGCATCGACATGTACGGCTCGTAGTATTTAATTAAATTGTAATTTAGATGCCTATTAAATAAATATCTAAATCGAGACTCGACTCAGTTTTTATCTCGACCGGTTTAGCGATTTTGGTGTCGTGGACGCGTTCGCGGCACAACCGTTCCATATTCAAATTTCAAATTTTGAATATTTTCTTGGTGGCCAGCGCCTAAACAGGTTTTTTATCGTCACAGTTTCGAGTTTCATTATCCTTTAGAATATCACTGGGTTTATCAAGGCGGTGTCAGCGGCGGTGCGCCCGTTCATTTATTTACATCGACCGATTTGTTACACGTAAAAAATTGATAAAGGACCGGCCTAACAAAGAGTTAGGTCACGCAGGTCACGTCGGTCGTTGCTCAGCCGCCGTAAAAAATATCGCAAAATCATCGCCGACACAAAAACAGTGTGAGTCATATTTTTAGGGTTCCGTAGCCAAAATGGCAAAAACGGAACCCTTATAGTTTCGTCATGTCCGTCTGTCCGTCTGTCCGTCTGTCCGTCTGTCCGTCTGTCCGTCTGTCCGTCTGTCCGTCTGTCCGTCTGTCACAGCCGATTTACTCGGAAACTATAAGTACTACAGTGATGAAATTTGATGGGAATATGTGTTGTATGAACCGCTACAAAATTATGACACTAAATAGTAAAAAAAAGAATTGGGGGTGGGGCCCCCCATACATGTAACTGAGGGATGAAAATTTTTTTTTCGATGTACATACCCGTGTGGGGTATCAATGGAAAGGTCTTTTAAAATGATATAAAGTTTTCTAAAAAACATTTTTCTTAAAGTGAACGGTTTTTGAGATATCAGCTCTCAAAGTCGTAAAAAGTATGTCCCCCCCCCTCTATTTTTATAACTACGGGGTATAAAATTCTAAAAAAAATAGAGGTGATGCATGCTAATTAACTCTTTCAACGATTTTTGGTTTGATCAAAGTATCTCTTATAGTTTTTGAGATAGGTTGATTTAACTGTAATTTTGGTTATATTTGCTGCTACGGAACCCTTTGTGCGCGAGCCCGACTCGCACTTGGCCGGTTTTTTATTCCTTGCAATGCGGTCTAATAAAGGAAATTTGTTCCGTACCTTGACGCTGCTGTGTAACAAGTATGTCGGTCATTCTTCGTACAATGATTGTCTGTCATTTGTCTTGACTACACGCGTTCAATGTGACACGGCGGGCATTAACGTCAACTAAAAACTAAATAAAGAGCGTAATTTGCACGTTCTTGCAAATTGTTTGCGATAAGTTATGAGATGTCATTTATTCTCAGGTGATCTTTGATCTTCAGTTCACCTTGGTGAGGAAAAGGCAAAAGGAATTCGACGGTTTACGTGACGATGTGCCAATACGTAGAGTCATTGCTCCGTGCGTGCATCTTGAACGTGTATCATTGTTACGTCGTTAGCTATGTAAATACATTTGCACGCTTTTGTAGCAAAAAGTACAATACACAAAAAACAAATATTTTAGCTAGGATAAACTGTCCGCAGTTGACCGAGGCAAGGTCGTGCGGATTTTGAACTTGGAACAAAAAATCATTCCACATTTAAATGCTGCATTATGACTGCGCTGATTGATGGGTTATCTTTTCAACGATTGATTTGCTTTTGTTTTTTTTTGTTCCACTGCATTTGCTGCCAGTGTTTTTCAGTGGGAGTCTGAAATATTTTACGGCATTCTTTCAGGCTTGATTTATTTTTATTCCTTTGATGTAGGTCGTCGACTCCTTGGAATGCGATATTTTGTCACAAGTGCTTTTTTAAATCCCATTAGTGATGTTGACGTGCAATTCATTTTTTTTTGTCGACATTTTTTACTGATTTGAATTTGGAATAAAAACGTAACCTCATAGGAGGTTCAAAAACTGAATTTAATTCACTGTTCTCGATACCCGTTATGCACACGCCTTATATGGGCTAGAGAAGCATTGTCTCTCTGTCACGAGTGACTCAGCCCATTGTTGTTGCACAATAGTCTTTGTGCATTGTACGGGACCCTGGTGTTACGTATTTTGTAATAATTAGACTACTCGGTTCTTAATGACACATATGCTAATTACAGAATAATTAGTGATTTGTTTCATTGTGCTACGGATTTCGTTGAATATCGACTGATTTACAGAATTAATTAAACATCGACTGTTTTTAATTGTAGCCATGTTACCATCGATACTCAAAAAATTGCATTAAAATGCCAGTAAATGAATAATGCTAAAATATGAGGTGTGAACACGGGGATGAATTATTTAAAAATTTAAATGAATGGCAAAATTAATGACAGCAAAACATTAAGGTATGAAATTTTATAACAACTAATACATACTTAAACGTTTTTCGTTGAATCCCAAAGTACCTAATTGCCCCATTCTTTGTTTCAGACTCTCACACGATTAAAAAAGTCATTACTTACATACTGCAGAATGCAATGACAATATTTACTGAGTATTTTTTAAGAATGCAAAGTATTAAAAAAAGTTTTTTACGTCAAATCGCTTTGCTCCAAGTTAGGAACCTATTGATCGACCGCGAAATAGGTTTTTTATGATAAAAAAAATCTCCTATGGCACGCGTAGGGGATCTCCCTTAACCATTTTAGAACACAAAAGGCCAAAACGAGTAAGGGTTTCATAATAGGAGGATTCCGTCAACTGGGACCGCAATTAACTGGGACCGCGGTCCCAGTCGCCGGATGCGTAAAAATTAAATAAT